AAAGACCTGCCAGCGGAGGTGGGCGCGACCGACCCGGCAGATCTGACAGATCCGGGTTGGTCGCGCCCACCAGAAGAACAGCTGATAAAGACGTGCCACACAAACACCTGTGACACTTCTGAAGAAGACCGCAGACGAAGGCCGAAACATGTAAAAAGGTCAATAGAAACACCTTCATGTCCGAAGCAAAAAGAACCTCGTTTAAAGGACACTGTGTGATTTAGAGATTAAGCATTGCTGTTATTCACCAATTAGCCTACTGATAATCAGATGAGAGGGGCATCTTAAATAATGAGTGATTACCATGAAGCCGTAGCTGGCTGTTAGCATATCAATCCTGTATTCAATTAATACAATCTCTCCCAAAATGGAGGTCATTCATGAAGTTCTGTAGAAGAAGAAAGTTTTTTCATAAAGTGTCTCTTAAGATAAGAATGATTAAAAATGATTATAATAATCAGTGTTGGGAGTAACGCGGTACAAAAGTAATTAACTACTGTAATGTATTGCTTTTTGCTGTAATGTGGTAATGTAAGGCATTACAGGGAAAGAAAATGGTAATATTTACTCGGTACAATTGTCAGTAACGCAGTAATTACAACGCATTTTAAACCCAGAATCAAGATGCGGGTTTGCTAAAAATTCAAATCGCGGGAAGCCTGAAAAAAGATCCAGTATCTACATATATTACGTCATTTATGGACTCAGCTTAGCGGGCATTCTATGAGCAGAGAGGACACAGCGGTAATGGCTCAAATACTCCAGCTGCGTCCTGCGCGCGGCCGCTGTTATATTCACAAAACCGCTCCACCAAAACAAAGTAATTCGTTTGCGATCGTTTATATCTGCCCATATTCTCTGGTACTTCATGTAATTTTCAGCTGAGTTCATTATCTGTGCGCCGGTTATTTCAACTCATTGCTGCTGGAGCGCAGCGCATATGAAGCTTTTTCATTATTTTTATTTTTTTGCGTTCGATCCCTTTGGCTGATTAGTTAGAAAGTAGGAAATCTAGGAAACAGTTTTTCTGGAAGACGGAGAAAACATGCAGCATGCAGGAAGGTTAGAGAGAGAAAGGGCAGGAAATTATTCAAATAAAATCAAGAAAACAAAACAAAGTGCTTGAAAAGAAAAAAGTAGATAGATTTATCCCCAATACACATTTTACCAGTGAAAAGCAATAATACATAAGCATTTTAATATTTATACATGTGATAGAATCAGATCACCCCAGAAGTCAGTCCCACATCCAGGGCCGTATCAAGGCATTTGGGGACCAAGGCAAATATAGGCTTGGAGCCCCCACCACCTCACTCCCTGCTCAGTTAATATAAGATGGCAGCGTGCTGAGAGTACAGATTGTTGTTGCTTTCATTTAATAAACAATCATTTTAAAGCACTGTTAGTCATTATATCTGACTGTTTTTAACAGCAATCCTAGCTCAGACACCACATCACCTTCCACATATATGTCATGAGCTCACTGAGCGTCAGATTACCAGATTCATATTGAAGTTGTTTTGGTGAAAGTTACTTCAAGTAATGCAAAAGTAGTGTAATGCCTTACATTTTAAAATCAGTAGTATTGTAATGTAATTAATTACTTTAAAATGAGGGTAACAAGTAATAAATAATGCATTACAGTTTTGAAGTAACTTGCCCAACACCCTGATAATAATAATAAAGACTGAAAATTTAAGAACAAAAATGAAAACATAAAACAAGTCAGAAGAATAAAAACGAAAAGGTCCTAAAACAGACCTGTTTGGGACACCACGGGTGAGGGAGACGCAGGACCAAACCTTTCAACAAGATAGAGTAACACACTTTAAAATAGCCCAAAAATGCTTTTCAAGCCTCGACTATTGGAGCTTTTCAGAGAAGCAGAATTAGACAGACTCATTTCTTAATTTTTACTTTGAAAGCAACAGTTAATGTGTCCCCCTGCTCTAATTCACATTAACCACTAACTTAGAAGAAAGCAGCCTGCATTAATTAAATTAAATTATACCTTATGCATGCTAAATCACAAAGCA